CACACACACACACACACACACACACACACACACACACACACACACACAAATGGTAAAGAGCTATGATCATATGCTACATTCAGATTTTCATTTTATTTGGATATTTAACATGAGGTATTTTTCTTGTCTTTCTTCTTATTATTATTATTTTGCTATTTTTTCCTTCCCAGATATTGAGATACTTCATGAAACATTTGTTGACATTGAATCAAAGGATCACAGGCTGCAGAATGTTAAGGTCATTCTGTTGCTGCCTCGTTGTTCAGCGCTAGGTGTTAGTAACCCGGTGGAATTTATTTTGAATGAACATGGAGGTACCTGTTCTGATTTCTAAATTAATGAAATTCATTCACTGTAACTCATCAATTTCAACACTGGATAATCTTTTTTTTTTTTTATTTTGTGTATTGCTCTTCAGATTGGTTGTATTCATCGTATAAGTGGCTTATACAGTTCTTTGAATGATTATTTCAGAGACATGGAGAAAAGCAAGATGAAATATTTTCTCATTCCTTTTGGAAAACAGTAATAAAACTAAACATAATTATCTTTATTGATGTTTCAATTACAAGTCAATATTTTATCAATTGCATAATTAGGAATTTTTTATGAAAATATGTATTATTAGACAATTGATTGAAGAGTAATTTGAAAACAGCCATTTATGAACAGTGCCCACACCGTCATATTTAAAAAGTGTGTATTTACTCTTTAAAATTTAGATACAGGTTTACTTCAAGACCTTTCTCAAGGTGGGCCAACAGAAAATAAGCTTCAGATCCTTGCTGAGAAGCAATACGAACAGCTGACACACGCAATGAAATGTAAGTTTATCATTAGTGCCAGCTTATCAACACACAGTGTTAATCTTTGAATCATGGATACACACTTCATCACCTACTAGAACAAAGCAATAACTGGTGAACCACAAGTGATATTTCGATCACAGCGCCCTCAAATCGAATGTTCATTTTGACCAACTTAATAAGATTTAAAAATATCCTACCTGCATATAGATAGATAGTAAACTATACTAAGTTTACTATTATAAGCTCGGTTATCTAGCATAATTTAATAAATTATCAATGCTGAAGGAAAGTTATCTATAGCTCTACATCTGTTTGTTTACAGCCTCACTGTGCAGAGCATGCAGGGCTGGAGCTTACGTTCCTCTTGCCTCCGTTTTCCACGTGCTGCCTACCCAGTTCACGACTGTACACTTTCACCTTTCCTACTCTGCACTTTGACTTCTCACGTGCCGTCATTCTTCTGTCGTCATCTTGTCCATCCATGACAACTCTTCAGTGTTCTACCAAGTGTTCTTTATTTACTTGTTTTGAGGGGGGCTCTCATAGCCTAAGCCAGTCTGGAGCACTCCTTCTACTTTAGCATGCTGAGTTCTGGGGTTAAAGGTTTGTATCTCCAAGCCTAGCTAAACCGACTCTCACTTCTGCGTTCTTGCCGTGTAGAGAACGGAGAGGTGCAGTTGCAGATAAAGGGCTAGCTCTCCTGGAGGCTTGAAGTCTGTGCTCTGAAAGCACACCTCTGCTCCAGTCGCTGCACGCAGATCTGAGCACCACGCTGCTTCTGAGCACCTGGCCGTGCTTGTCTGCAGTTGGATGCTGAGATCTAGACAGCCACAGGAATCCTAGCCAAACACGGTGGCACAGGCCTGTGATCCCAGGCAGGAGGATCAGTTACCATTGGCTACGTAGCAAGTGTGAGGCCAGCCTGAGCTACCAGACCCCCTGGCTCAAAAAATAAAGCCAACAAATTAATGTTTTCTTTTAGTTCAGTGTATGGCTATCAAATGTCTCTGGTGGTCGGATGTTTACAAACCAGATATTAGCATTATAGTGAGAATCTCTGTGAAAACTCCAAGATGAGTCTGTAGGAACTGTAACTTACTACATAAAGCCCCAGTGTTCATAAGACAGAAATAAGGCAGAGGAGCATGAAGGAGGTCCTCCTTTGGAACCGATAACATGCACAAACTATGAAATGAGTTCGGTGGAAGATTAGGAAACCGGTAAATTACATACTTTTACTAAAGTTTAGTGGAATGTTTAAATTTTATTTTATTTGTAAAAAAAAAAAAAAAAAAAAACTTCATAAAGAACCATAGAAAGTGAAAAGGAGGCCTGGGGAGATGGGTCAGTGAGTAAAAACCGAGCAAGCATGAATATGTGAGTGTGAATCCCCAGTATCCATGTAAAAAGCTGGGCACGGCTGTGCATGCGCCTGGACGCCAGCACTGCGCTGGGGGCAGAGGCAGGAGGATCACTTAGACTTACGGTCGCCATCCTAGCCCCAGGTCCGTAAGAAACAAGTCTGAAGGGAATGAAGAGGAGAGCGACAGAGCGTAACACCTGCCATCCTTACAGGCCTCTGCACACGGGTGTATACGCCACACGTTCACGTGAAGAAAGCAAAAGATTTTAATGGCATAAGCTGTTTTGTCATGTTAAAAAAAAAAAGTGTCTGGTAACTGTCAAGATTAAGACACTTCATTTATAGTTTCCCCATAAAGCAACGTTAGGTCGAGTATGTAATCAGGGATTGACTCCAATTTTTTACAGAAATGACTCAAAGGTCCATTTGGAATCAGCAATGTAAATGCTGGCCCAGTCCTCTTTATGTTTTATGAAAATACATTTGAACCATTTGGAAGTTTGTCGAGCATCTATTATTTGCCAGTCACCTTGTACTTACTTTTCTAGTCCTCATGGGATATTCTCTCTTGGCTTCTGTGCCTTTTTGATCAAGAAAATCAGCACAGGGATGGGAATGGGGGTGGACCTGGGTTGCCGCCCAAGCCTCACACCTTCTCACTATCCTCCACTAAAATCATGAAAGCCCACATCACTGTATCCTCTACCACCGAAGGCAGTCAGCTCAAGGAGGCTGGTGTCTGTCACTCTCTTCATAGCTTCTGGTCTGTCCTCCCACTCTGGCTCTCTGGAACGAGAATTAACGAGAATCCCCTATATTGTAACTTCTCAAAGTTAAAAGGTGGAAAGCGGAAGTTCTGCAGCTCCACACCCCCCCCCCCCGCCGTGCCTGCCCTTCCCCCTTACTGTCATTTCAGTTAGTGACAATATCAATAGACCTCCAGGTAAGCCGTAATATAATATAGAGTGGGGACGAGCCACATCCATTATTTTCACTATGTCCACATGGAGAGCTTACACTAGGATAACCTCACGGCCTTCATTAGTCTCCTTGCTTCCACCACTGTCCTCTGTGGAGTGAAACTGGTCACAACAATGGGTTTCAAGCAGTGTAAAAATCACAGCCCATCTAGGGGCTAAACATCCACGGACAGACAGTGCTCAGAGCTGCTGAGCAGCCGTCTCTCCATCTATCTTACCCGCCTGCGACTCTCCTTATCTGGGCTCCAGCAGCCTTTGAAATGCTAGTCCCACTTGCCCTTTCAGGGCCTCCACGCCTGGCCGTGGCTGCTCCTCCGCCATCTCCTTGTCTGTCCACAGTCTTCTAGATTAGCAGTGATTGTTGTGACTATACTCCTTGAACCGACAGCTTCTCTCCCAAAACTGTCACCCACCCCCATCCATTTTATCACGTAAATTGTTTTCCTAATCTTGTTTCACTCGTTAGTCCTCTGCTGGAGAGTAAGTTCCACAGTGGCAGGCTTTTCATCTTTCTCGTTGATGACCTCAAAGCCGAGAAAAGTACCTGGCCTGCCGGAGGTGGTGCCTTGTTTCATGGAAGAGAGACCTGAGTCTTTAGAGTAAATTTCTCCAGGTTCGCATAGCAGCAAGAAACAGAATTACAATTCCCATTAATGGCTGTTTCTAGAGTCCCTTAAACTAAGTAGGTGATATAGAGGAATGTCTGCTCTTGATAACAGTATTTATTGCTTTGTGTGGGGGATTAGATTGATCGCAGTGATAGATCGATCTTTCTCTTTTGTACAGTCTAGCTGGATTTACTTGACTTCCTGGTCATTGCTTGCATTCCTAATACAAGCTTCTTTTTGAAGGAGAGCCATCCCGGGGCACTGAGGTTGTCTCAGCAGGAAAGGGTGCTCGCCTCTGAGCCTGATGAACTGAGTGTGATGCTGGGGACTCCCATAGTGGCAGGAGAGGATCAGTTTCCACAAGTCGCCCCCTGGCTCCCACGTGCGTGACTTGACACACACACAGAAACAAATGTAATTTTTAAATTAAAAAAAATAAAATAAAGGGGAGGCACGCAAGCGTCGCATAAGTCATTTCCATCAATATTTGGCGGTATGCATTAGTCACAAACGTGTGTCTGGAAGCAGCAAATGTGCATTGGGTCCCAGTATTGATTGCATCTTCTTTCAATACAGTTACCAAAGCTCAAGCAGTTGTTTATTGCACATGCTCTGTTTATGAAGAAGAAAATGAAGCTGTTGTTAACAAAGCTCTGGACAGTCAAAACCAATTGTTTAAAACACAGCCTTACAGGTAAGGATGCAAGGGCTTGAATCTGACAAGCATGGTTTTTAGAGTTATAGTAACACATCATACTTTTGTTAGCATTTAATATGACAAAACAGCCCCAAATCTTACAGCTTTAAAGTGGATTCTTGAGAGCTTTTGAATGAATACTTTCTTTAATAGCTTTATGTGTATTTTGTGTATTATGTAGTGTGTGTGTGTGTGTGTGTGTGTGTGTGTGTGTACGCACACGTGCAGATGTTGAAGGATGATTTGTATGAGTCACTTCTCTAGCCACCGTGTGGGGCTCAGGAATCGAACTCAGAGCACCAGGTTTGGTGGCCGGCACTGTCACCCACCAAGCCACAGCACTAGTCTATGAACATTGTATATTGTACATGAAAGATTATCTTCTTTTTGTTATTGGGAAAACTAAAGGCATTGGGTGTTGGCTTGGTTGATTCTTGAATAAACTGAGTCCAAATATCATATTGTTCTAAGGAAAAATGAATATACAAAATATTTTTAGAAAATAGACACCGGATGTGTGTTATCTTAAGCACTTTTAATATTTTGAACCCACTGGTAAATTGGTAAAAAAAAAAAAAAATGACATGGATATCTGGGGCAGTTTCCAGGTAAAATACAGCAGTAAAGATGGGAAAGAGAGAGAGCATTAATACTGCAAACTGAGCTGGGTGTGATGATTCACAGCTTAGTCTCTTGTTCTTGTACGGCTGAGGATGGAAGGAGGGTTGCCACAAGTCTGAGGCCAGCCTGGGCCACATAGAGAGGCCTGTCTCAAAAAATGAATGCGAAGGTATGGGATGTAGCTCAGTTGTAGAATGCTTGCCTAGTATATTTGAGGTTTTTGGTTTAATCTCCAGTACTGCCCAAACAACCAAACAAACACTAAATAATTCAAAACAAATACAATGTGTACTGTGGATATCAATATCTCACTCCAAGAATAAGTTTTTCAAGACTAATTAGTTTTCCAAGACTGTGATAATGAATTAAACATCTATTTTCATGCTGTGATTTTTCTTTAGAATCTTAGTATGTATATAGCCTGTTCTGCCTTCCCAACTTGTTATTTTTGCATTTTTCATTTCACAGGCTAACAAGTTAATGACATCAACATTTCCTCTCTTGCTGACTTTCCTTTCTTGTTTAGAAGCTTCTGTTGATAGCTGTCCTTGTTAGGGTTTCCATTGTTGTGAGGAAATACCACGGCAAAAAACAAGTTGGGGAGAAAAGGTTTTATCCGACTTAACTTCCACATTGTAGCTGATTGTTGAAGGGAGTTAGGACAGAACCCTAAACAGGGCAGGAACCAGAAAGCAGGAGCTCAGGCGGAGTCCATGGAGGGGCGCTGTCTACTTGTGGTACATCACGGCTTGTTTAGCCTGCTCTCTTATACAAAGTCTTTGTAAAACCCCAAAATCTCTTTTAAAAAAATTTTAATGGCTGATTTTTATTTTATGTGCACTGTGTCTGTATGTGTCTGTGTGGGAGTGTCAGATCCCCTGGAACTGGAGTTACAGACAGTGGTGAACTCCCATGACGATGCTGGGAATTGGACCTAGGTTCTCTAGAAAAGCAACCAGTGCTCTTAACCAATGAGCCATCTCTCCAGCCCCTCCAAAATCTCTTGAAAAGTTAAAGTCTCTCAACTGTGAGCTCCAGTAAAATAAAAATTAAGTTAAATACTTTCTCATTCCAAGAGGGAAGAACCAGGGCACAGTCACAATCTAAACAAAGCAAAACCAGACTTCAATAGTGGAAATAACTCAATGTCCAATAATCTGGGACTCACTCACGTCTCCGGGGCTCCTCCGAGGGACCAGGGTCATTTCTTTGGCTTGGCCCCCTGCAGCGCCCAAAGCTTGCCCTCTAAGCTTGGGTGGGCTCCTCTCCACTGCTGCCCCTGTCTCGGCCATTGTCCCATGGTTCTGGAGTCTTCTGCTGCACCTGGGCTTCACTTTCACCAATAGCTTCTCCTAGGCTCTCTTCCTGGTGCCAGCCTCAACTTCTCTCCGTGTTCCCTTTAATCCTGGGCCTTCGACTGCTACCGAGGCTGCTGCTTCACCAAAGGCCTCTCCTCTCTTCTCACAGTGCCAAGCCTCAGCTGCTCTCCATGACCTCTTGATGCATTCAAAACCAGTACCACCTGGGTGACTCTTAAACTACCAAGTTTGGCAAGCAGCGTGAGGTACAACCTCGGCCAGCCTCAGGAACACAGCTCCTCTGTGCTGTCAGGAAACACTTCCCAGAAGATTTCACCTCAGTGATGCTGGCCTCTTCTTAGTCACTACTAATTTCTCAGCCCCAGCTAGCCAGCATCAATTGTCTCAGTAAAACAATGGTTTCATTTCAGTGGTACCAGTCTCTGTTAATCACAGCTGATTTTTCAGCCGAGGTGACCAGAATGACCAGAACCATAGAACTTGCTTGAAAATAGTAAATGTGCAAGGGCCCTGGTAGTCTTAAGTAACTCTCAAACTTCCATCCGGAACTTCACCAGCCATGCCTTCACTGTAGGCATTTCTCTCAATACTCTTTTCTCCCAGGCTTCCACAGAACAGTCCATCAAAGTTTTCAATACTCAATGGCCTTTTCAGCTCACAGTTCCAAAGTCTCTCTACCAACACACGGTCATGTCTATTACAGAAAATAACACATTATTTTGGTACCAATTTCTGCTGTAGTTAGGGTTTCCATTGCTGTGTCGAAACATCATGACCAAAAGCAACTTGGGGAGGAAAGGGTTTATCTGGTTTACACTTCCACATCACAGTCCATCTTTGAAGGAAGTCACTGCAGCAGCCAGGAGGCAGGAGCTGATACCAGAGACCACGAAGGGGCACTGCTTACTAGCGTATTCTCCTGGCTTGCTCATCCTGCTTTCTTATAGAACATAGGACCATCAGCCCAGGGATAGCACCACTCACCATGGGCTGGGCCCTCTCTTAGCAATCACTGATTAAGAAAATACCCTATGGCTAGATCTCATGGAGACATTTTCTCAACTGAAGTTTCCCCCTTTCAGATGAATCTACCTTGTGTCAAGTTGACACCAGACTGTAAAATAGCTGAGAGTCAACCACACATCCTGAGAGTCCTGAGTATCACAGTTGCTAAATTACCATCTATCGACAAAGAGCTGCTGTTATGGCAGGAACATCACCAAATCAGTCATTGTACATGTACGGTTCCTGATTTCTTAGGGGAAAGATTGTTGAGAAAATAATATAACAAGAGTAAAATGATTTTGCTTTCCTTTCCTGTGAGCCATGATGAATTTAGAATATAGTATGAACAGATATAATTCATATTTAAAGACAGAGACAATGGTTCACATAAACTTTAAGATACATAGAAATAAAGATTAAAAATGAATAGAAGAAGTACTAGGAGTGATCAGCAGAAACTCTTTCTTTAGGGAGTAGTTGAGAAAAACTGAGGAGACCCCCTCCTCATCAGCAGGCTCTGCCACAGATGGTCAGGAAGCGCAGAGACTCAACTCTCCAGTAGAGAGGAGGATGAGTGGGCTTGCAGCTCAAGAACAGAGCTTTGCAGAATCTGACACCCTCTTAAAAGTCCCCACATTGGGCTGGAGAGATAGCTCAGTGGCTAAGAGTGCTTGGTGTGCAGTCATGAGCACCAGAATTCAGCTCCCAGCAGCATATAACGAGTCCAGTGTTGAGCACACCTGTTCACACGGCGCACACCGCTTTCCAACTGGATAATTAATCTTTTAATATTTTGTCATGTATCAAGAGTATAAGCATCTTCATAAAAACTACAAGAATTTCATATTATTGCTGATTTTTTCTTATTCTATCCTCTGTCCTCCCCACCCTCCCCTGCCTTTTCCTTTCCAGCACTGGAGATTGAACATAGGGCTTTACACTGTGATGGCACCTCCATCTCCCACGTAATTTCATTTTTTGATGGTTTTGATTAAAAACTTGAACTTTTTCCTTTATAGATACTTACTGATGGTTCTGGAGGTCCCAAGTCTTAAAGGTGGTGTTGGCAGGGTTAGGTCCTTGTAGAGCCTGTGGTGGAGAGCTGTTCTGTGCCTTTGGTAGTTGCTGGCAGTCCTCGGCATTTCTCTCAGTCAAATCTCTGCTTCTATATACAAAGCTTCTTCCCTGTGGTCTGGGGTCTTTCTCTTTCCTTTTTTTGTTTTTGTTTTTGTTTTGTTTTGTTTTGTTTTGTTTGAGACAGGGTTTCTCTGTGTAGCCTTGGCTGTCCTGGACTTGCTTTGTAGACCATGCTGGCCTCTGCCTCCTGAGTGCTGGGATTACACGTGGTGCGTCTTTCTCTTCTCACAGGGACTACTCAGTGTTAGATTCAGGGTTTCCTAACTCAAGTGGATCTATTCTGCAACAAAGTTTCATCTCGAAGTTTTGAGAGGACTTAAATTTTGTGGGTGATACTGTTTACCACAGAACAGTCTATTCCGTAGTTTCCCAAAATTTACACTTCTCATTTGCAAAATACACTTACCCAACATCACCAAGAGTCCTTATCCATTCCAAGATCAATTACAAATCCATATTTTCATATGAGGTCAACTAAAGAAAAAATTCTCATCTAGATCAGAGGAGGAGACTCTGGGTATGATATTTAATATGTAAAGAAATAAGCTATAAACTGGAATTCAGAAGCCATTTTGTAGGAATAATTTCCAGAAGACAAATTGTCTAATCTTATTTATGAATCACTACTACCATTAGAATGCATGAAAGTAGCTATCTATAATAGCATTTTAAACACAGTGCACTGAATGCCTAGTGTGTGTCAGATAACTCTACTAGGTAGCAGCAATTTATCAGTGAATTAAAATTTTAAAAATGAATTTTCATGTTTACGTTTGGAGACTAAATAGATTCTACATTGGTAACAAAAATTTGTTTCAATGAGTGAATCAATTATAAGTGATGTATATACATATATATACATATATATGTATATATATATATATACGTATATATATGGGGGTATGTATTTATGTGAATAAAAGTTTAAAGATAATTTCTGTTTTCCTAGAAAACATGCATATATTGGTGAAGCATCCCATATATGAATTGCTTGGGATCAAAAGTACTTCAGAGTTTGTATACATTTAGATGTTGGAATATTTGTACATATACAGGTCCTGGGGTGGGGATGGAACACAAGTCTACATACAGAGTTCTCCTATGTTTCACATGCATCTTTCACAGAAAGCTGAGACTGATTTTTGACAACATTTTAATGTCCTAGTGTTTTGAGTGTGATCTGACACCTGAGGTCAGATGTGGAACTTTCCACTTGTGGCATCATGTTGGATTAAAAAAATTAGTTGGCTGGGAGTGGTAGTGAGTGCCTTTAATCCCAGAACCCTGGAGGCAGAGGCAGGTGGATCTCTGAGCTTGAGGCCAGCCTGTTCTACTGTAAGACCTGGGGTCTCACAGCTCAGGAGTTCAAGATCGCACCCTTCCCAGAAACTCCCACAGACCACAACTTGATGTAAAAGCAAGAGGTTTAATTTAACTTTTGCGCAATGGGGTCACTCCTGCTGGTCAGCAGAGAGTGGCCCCGGGAGACAAAGGTGAAGTTGCAGTTTTGGCAATTTAGGATTGGATGAGGAAGCTATAAAGACAATTGGTTAATCTTAGGTGCTCAAGCTTGGCCAGTCCTACCAAGTGTGGATGCAGCTGCAATTGAAGGTGGGGGTGGTTAGCTCATCCTTGAAGATTGGGGCTGCGGACTTTTGGCTGGAGGTCAGGAGCTACTCAGAAGAAGGATTGAGGTCGTCTGGGTTGGTTGCTAAGAAACACTATCTCGAAGACAAGGGTCTGGTCCTTCTTTTTGCTGAGTGAAGGTCATTGCTTGCTTGCTTTTTTTCTATCTGTCCTCACAGATAGGGTCACATTTCTCTGTTCTCTGGAAAGGTGCTAAGAGGCTTTAGCTTAACCTGGACCTAAAACTCAAAACTATAGGCTTTAGAAGACATACAGGTTACAAAGTTAGTCTAACCCTTTCAGTACATACCTACCGGCTAGCCAGGGCTACACAGTGAGACCCTGTCTCAAAAAAGAACAACAACAAAAAAATGGATTTGTTTGCACAGTGGATTTCAGGTGACCCAATGAGATAGCTCGCCCTCAGAAACGGCGGCTGGCTGTAAGGTAGATCGGGGCAGCTAGGCCTCTTGCCTACTGAGTTAGCCCCACTCCTCGCTGTTCCAGACTCTCTGCTGAGTCCCGAGAGGTCATGTGTGTCTGCCCCTTTCCCAGGTGACACGTCCTTCCTCACTGCTGTCCCAGGGGAAATACTTGCTGAATGCAGAGTGCGTTTCAGGTTCTTGCTCCTCCTCATTCTCCTCCTGTTCGCTCTCCTCGCTATTCCAGAAACTACTCCCTCCTCAAGACACAGCATCATGGCGCCCCTCCTGCGGAGGTTTTCTTATTTGCACTCTCCCACAGTTGCTGTTAGCCTCACCTAAACTCTGTCCTCCTGTAGGATTTGTCTCTTCTTACCTCACCGTTCATTCTTGGTCTTACTTGTATCACTGTAAGTTGGTTTATGTGTGTAATGTGGAAACTAATCGAGTTACGCTGTATTCATGAGCTTTGAACCTACGCGGCAAATGATGAAACAAATATAAACTTAAAATTGGTTTTAAATTTCACAACAGACAAAATTAATGAAACATTCCTGAAACTTTCATTCATATGGACAGTGTTTAATTGCTTTGATTAGATTATATTCCGGCCCCTAAATATGGAAACATAAGTATTGTTATCAATTAGGTGTTTACCACAGTCACAAATATATAATGCCATAATTATGTTTAATGATATAATATGAACATAAGTATCTATTATTTATAAGTAAAATCATATATATAAATAAAATTAAATGAATAAAATTAAATTAAATGAGAAATTAAATATAAAAAGAACAAAATTATAAGCTTAGGACTAATTAAAAGTTTTTATATTTGTGTTAGAAAGTCTTTCCTATATATTTTTCTTTTGTCTTTTGTGGCACAGGCTCTCATGTATCTTAGGCTGTCCTCAAACTCACTATGTAGTTGATAATGACCTTGGACTCTGTGTGTGTGTGTGTGTGTGTGTGTGTGTGTGCACGCGCGCGCACAAGCCACAGAGCATATGTGGTGGACAGAGGCTAACTTGGGAGTCAAGTTTGTTTTTCCATTCTGTGTGTCCAGGAATTGAGTTCAGGCCATCAGATGATTTGTGCTTTTACTTGCTGAAGCCTCTCATTCCCCCTGTTGGTTGTTTTTCTCTGTTGCTTGTTTGCTTGTCTGTTTTGAGATAAGGCCTTATGTAGCCCAGGAGCTGGCCTTGTACTTGCTATGGAGCTAACTATGACCTTGAACTTGTTTCAACCGTTCTACTTCCCGAGTGATGGGATTACAGGTCTGGGTCACTGTCCCTGGTTTATTCAGTGCTAAGGATCCCACCCACAGCTTCCTGCACGTTAGGGAAGCATACTAAGACCCCCCCCCCCCCGTGCCATGTCTGCAGTCCTGGCTCTACACACCTGTGACTGCTCTACTGGCCTATTTTGATAACACAAAATACGGAGCTTTTCAGTTTGTGAAAAGGTTGTTATTCTTGGAGCAGTTTCTCAGAGACTTCGGAAGCTAACAGGAAATACTGAGCTTTCCACTTAAAATTCGGGGGAAGACAGCTTCACTACTTTCTCTTGTTTGAGATTTTTACTTAAGTGATTGGCGAAACAGAAAGTAGAAAGTAGTGTTGAGGCTGACTCTCTTCCTTTCTTAGATAAAGAGCCATTTTTAACTGTCAAATTTCTCCTCTCTTCCTGCAGGCTCAGTCCCCCTGTCCTTCCACTGTGCTCCTTAAGAGAAATACAACTGTCTATGGACAAATTCTTTAGAATGGAACCATCTGATATTACCAATGGTTGTTTTCTTTCTATTTTAACAAGAGAGGTAAGAAGGAAGCAAACTCGTAACCCAGAGCACACTCTGGAGCTGAAAACAGCAAACTCTCACCATGGGGGCCATTTTTCAGTATCCTTGCCTTTCACAAACAGCTGAAGGGCAAGAAGAGGATTTTTGCTCTGTAGCTTCTGCTCTTCATGTGTCTTCCTCTTTGGCTTGCCCTCCAGTCCAGCCTCTCCCAGCAGTCTGCCAACTGTCTGGTGTTCTTCCCTAACATGTAAGAAGTAAGCAGTGTGATTCTTATGAGGTTTGTAAATGGGGCAGTTGAACTAAGAAAAAAAGTTACTTGCTAGGGCTTAGGAGTTACATTATGGGGTAAGGCCCCCCAAACCTTTCCTTTAATATGTTTTAATTTTCACCAAGTCGCCGATAAAGATTTAATATCTGCTCCATGATGGCCACCTTTTCCACACTAACAACTGCTGCTTTCATTGCAGCGAGACCCATCCGAGACGGTGTCTGTGAGAGACGTTCTGGCCCGAGCTGCAGCCAAGGGTCTACTGGATGGGGTTGAAGTTGGGAAGTCATCCAAACGGGAGAAGAGGAAGAAAAAAGCAAAGGCGTTACTGCCCAAAGCTCCTGGGACCGATAACAGCACCCAAATAAAAATCACCGAGTTTCTGAATCAAGAAAATAAAGCAAGTACTTCTCGGGTTGAGACCTACACGGCAAAAACACCTCTCCCCCCAAAAACCGTGACTCACGAGGCCACTTCCCCCCAGATTAAAAAGGCCACCAAGCCTGCCGCCAATCCTTTACCGACAGCGTTGGTAAAGAGCACTGGTTCCTCCAGGCCGGTAGACAAGCAGACATACTTGGTGAGATCTCGGCCGGAAGGTAAAGTGATTCCTCTGAAATCTGTCGAAATCGTTTTGCCGCCAGTAATGTTCCCGTTCCACAGTTCCCCGGGGGGCAGATCGCAGATGCCAACAGGCCACTTTTATTACCGCTTTGTTGGATCAAAGGCTAATGTGCCCAGCTTTGTCGCCTCAGTACCCAGAAGAGGGGAGAAGCCTAAGGAAAACACACCTTTCTCCCTTCTTAGGCACTCTAGACCATGGCTTTGATGGAGTGGCCCTTGTTACAAAGTGGCTGGGGTTTCTTCACACTTAGATGCCATTTCACAAGATACTGGTGCTTTTGGTCACTCAGTATCTTCTAATGCAACATAACCTCCCGAGAAGGAAGACAGATGAGAAAGAATAATGGAGGGGACTGAGTGCGCAAAATTATGGTTTCATCAGCTCAGTGCTAAAGATCAGCTTTCAGAACTCGTCTCTCTTGGGAGTTTCAAGTGCGGACCAAGTGCAGCTGTCTTACCTGCAGGGAACATAGTATCCCTTTCAGCAGGCTGCATTGCAGATTCCATTGCCGGGCCTGGTAGAGAGTTCTGCTGTGCTTGCCTGCGATCTAGCCAAGAACCCAAGGCCACTCCTTACCTAGGCGGTTCCTGCAGCTGAAACCTCTTGAATCGCAGTGGAGGCCAGCTCCACTGCTCCTGAGACGGGGCATGTCAGGAGGTCCTCTAACGGACTGAGCTTCTGGAGGAGGACACACAGGAAATCCTGAGTGCCAGGTATACACAGTCCAGAGGTCCATTCAGAAACAAACAAACAAAAAACAAAGAAACAAACAAACAGAAATGTTTCTGGAGAACGGCCAGAATCCTCAGTAGACTGAGCATGGTAACCCTGCCCTTCTGTTTACATCAAACATTGCTGGAGCAAGGACAGTGAGCAAGCTTCTACCCACAATTCTTATTCTGAGAAAGAGGTCTAACTGTTGAACACAAGTGACGTATCATTGAATAAACTCAAAGGTTTCTGATTCTATGCAAAGATCAGGTGACACAGCCAAATGTGCAAGTCATTTCAATGGCACACAGTGATCAAACCCTGGTAACTCATTTCTGGATGTACAAGTAAAGTATATTGTAGTACTATGTTAAATATGTTAAATGTCAACTACTCTTAGCTATAGTAACAATTGCCTACCAATATTGACATGATTATCATTTCTGGGTCTGATTTTTTTCATCATGGCAACAGAAATTGTTTGACATTCAATAAAGTTAGGATTACAACTCTTATTTTTAAAAATCTCAGCCACATTCATAGTTTGGACGTAAAGCTTTATCTTCAGTTGAAGTGTGAGTTCTAAACGCTTGGTTCAGGTAGTGGACTGGGGCCTGTTTCAGCGCAAGCGGGCTCTCTTGGCTCTCGTCAAGCGGAGAGATCAAAGAATCAGTGGGTTTGGTTTTCAGAGTTCAGTTTCCTTTTAGCTAAAGACATATTTTTCGTTAAAATCCACAAATGAAGAAAATGAGTTTGGTACTTCAGGAGGTTTATATTTATATTCCAAAAGAATGCTCGTTAGTTGACTCTTAAAAAGCACAAAATGTAGGCAACAGGCAGAAGGGTTCCCAGTTCCGCTCTAGCTCAAGCTGCACAGTAGGCCCCTGCCTCAGCCCTTAGCATATACGAGTGCTAGTCTCCACCCCCAGCCCTAAAAGCACAAGCCCACCCTGCTTCTAATGCTTAGGTATCTCACTAAGGTATAAACTATGCATCTCTTTAAATTATGTGCCCTGAGGTGCAGCCTCATCTCCCATCGTTCAGAGAGGGGCTGCCATCTCATCCCAGGAACGGAGCCCAGGCTGAAAACCACCCCACCAAGTCTGAACTGATTATTTTCAAGTGTGTTTTCCGGGTTAACTCTCTTCGCTACAGAGGCTCAGGATCTTTTTTAACCTCTAGCAGCATGTGGCACTTTTCACCACTTGTAGCACTAAATTAGTTTTAGCCACACCCTTCATGGACATTCTGAATGGAATCCCTCACCAGTTAAGCCTGTGTGCTTTCCTTTGGGAATCTTCTAGGAAGAACAGAATCAATTAGGAAAACAGGGTAACAGCAACATAGAGAACTCTAGTGAAGATTGCTGACTGCAGACTTTTAATTGGCATTTTACCATGATGAGCTTCTTAAAGTGTTGGAAAAAAAAAATCAAACTACTCATATTTAAACACGGCAGTAACAATTCATATTTTTATTTATTTACTTCGTGGTGCTGGAGATTGAAGCCAGAGCCTCACCCAAACAAACTCCTATTTTTACCTGAACCTACTTACCAGTGTAAACCTCCTGAAAACAGGATGAAATGTTGATTCATGAGAGCTGTCTTTAACAGCCTAAGAGAAGGTGGCGTGTGGTGGCACACAGCGATAATCCCAGTACTCAGGAGGCTGGGGCGGGAGGATAGCCACGAGTTCAAGGCCAGTCTGGGTTACATAATGACAAGACAGCACAACACAACAAATGAACAAAACTTGGGTGGGTCCTTTTATTTGTTGTCTGTGTACCAGGGAGTTAAACCACGGCCAGCTGACTTTCTAGTTGGCACCTTTCACTTTGGATTTGATGCAGTCCCACCTCTAGTTCTCACTCTTACAAGAATGAAAGGCAGGCTTTGCGTTGTGTGCGTGCTGGAATACCTTAATCCTAAAAGAGAGCCTACAAAAACAAACAAACAAACAAACAAACAAACAAAAAAAAAAAACCTAACTGAGGACTAGATGAGTCCAGAATGCCTGCTCCCTTTACTGACCTACTTCCTAATCCTCACCAAGTGGGAAAATGCAAACATTAATGAAAGCAGAATCTTACATTACTAAAATGATTTTTTAAAAGTTTAATTTGAAGCAGTAATAATACAAAAATAAAACAACTACTGCAGAGACACCAAATTTGTATTTGTTTCTTGTAGGTGTGTGGCCATGCTGCCAGACAAACGAGTCAACGGCTGTACCCAGCCACATTTATCCTCACGACATTTTACATGTAAATGTGTACGCATCGCCAACAGCAAAAGGCATCAAAAAGAGACAAGATGTCCTTTCAGGAGGAAGTGGCCGGTGTGGCTGCCTGGCCATGCTCTGACGGTGCCAGCCAACATCTTTGTCTTCCCTCCCTGCCCTCCCCCACCCCCCAACTGTGGTTCCAGCCATTAAACTCCAATCCCCGCACCTGTCGTACAAGCTCTCCACCACTGAGCCATACCCCCAGCACGCTGAAACAAGTCCAATTACTTTCCTGCTGGCTGTAAGCACATCAGATGTTAGGTGAAACCCAGCCAGCCAGAGAGCTTTGCGGTGCGGTTTGACTAAACTGCTATTGCCGGGGAGACGCTTTTTGGAATCTTGTGTTGCAAATGCTCATGAACTGAGTGTGCCACGCACGGAGGGAAGTTCTGTGCCTCCAAGCAAGTGACCCAGTTTTGAGTGGTTTCTTCTGTGTCCTTCTTAAAAATGCCTAATGTGGATTTAAAAAAAAAAAAAAAAAAGTAGCAGTGCCAATAGTTGAGTCACCAAGAACTTGTTTTAATGGAAATGGGTCTAACGTCCCTTCATGCAATACGACAGACAAGTAAACAAAACAATGGTTCTCATTAGCTACGGGTGGTCATAAATCCTGGTAGAAACAGAGGGCATGTGGCTATCTGTGTCTCTTTTTGATGAGATTCCATGTGCTGTGAGGGATATAAAAATGAAGCACCGCACAGTGCCTTAGTCTACGAAGAATTCTCAGCCATACAGGCGTGCTGGCTGCCCCTTGACACGGCCAAGGAGCGCGCAGGTGAGGTGGTAAGAATGCATCTACCTAGCTGCTTTTCAAAAATAAAAGAAACTTTAAGCATTTTGCCATTTCCCCCCCCCCATGTATTCCAATAGAAATGTGACTAGGAATAATTACAAAACCACTTTTTAGGCAACGTATAATCGTTCACTGAGATTACTTAGGCCTGGATACATTGACATTATACCCAGTAAAGATAATACATCAACACAATAATGCGGTATATTTCAGTAAAAATAGAATAAATAAAATAAAAATAGTTTAAGCTGTATTTAACAGGTTAATTAAAAAAATGATAAGACATACAAGGCATAGTGAACATGGCTGCCTGTTTACCAAACCACAGATACAAAGAATGCATAGATAACTGAAGTATCACTAAGATCTCAGGTAAAACATTGGCATCCTTTCACGAACAAATACAAACACACTTTCATACATACTTTTTGGCCATGGCAGAAAGTGTCTGAACATACTGTTTAACATAATTTTACAAAATCAACCTGCATTTAGTATGTGAAGCTATTTTCAAAACAGAACATCTGCAGTGAAAGTATTTTATAGGTAAAAGGCTATCTTTCATCTTACTGCTTCCTAAAATTGCATATATAAGTCCATTTGCTACTTAAAGCTAGCTCAGTATTCTTGATCCTGAAAACAAACATTATGTGTGTCTTAAAAACGAACAGGGTTTAGGTAGAGACTTCCCCTAGAAATGTGGATTGCTTTAGTTTTGAAGGTGAATGCACGAAAACATTTCACTATGGAGCTCAAGGTGAGGGGCCACGGTAAATGGATGCTGAACAGCTTTTCTTTGGGCACAATATGGTTTTCTTATTCAGATTTTTTTTTTTTAAGATGGCACTGGTGACTTCAGCTTGTGTGCAAGTTGGCACCAAGTTTAACACATTTTCTCAGATAGCATCCCTTTTACTGTAACATTAGGATGCCAGAGAACAATTCCAGGTTCTCTGTATCTGAGACTCCGTGAGTTTCTGGGAGACCCACAGGCGGAGGGCTCGGTCACCCGCTTTATCATGTGCTGTGATGGCTAAGCGCCACAGCTGGGAATGTTGCTACCACAAGTAACATAATCTCTAGAAAACCTCAGAGTGGAACAGGCTCTGAGGACAGACATTTGTCCTCTACAACACATCTAAGGAACACGGTCCTTGACCGACAAAAGACAATCGTCTTACAATAAATGCTGCTGGGTAGACAAATTGGACATTTCCTTAACTCACTGGGAAATTCTGAAATCGCCTGGCCATATTTCCATTATCTGTTCTCTGCGTGGAACCAGAGTTGTTTGTGAAGGCTCTTCCTGACTGCATGGAGGAGGAGGATAATGTGGCAAAAGCTGGGAGATGTGGACCCTGACTCTGGCTCTCATGAACTTTGGTGAGACCCTAGGCCACAGAGCAGCCTCTTGGTGCTTGGGTGTCTTGATTTCTCCAGTGAGTTTAGTGCCTTTTCTACCTTATAAGGCTCAAATGTGATAAAACTGCAGAAACCATCCTGACAGGTTACAGACAGAGCAGTGTGGAAATTTACAAGCGTTACGTGTATAACTGGATATTAGCTTTGACATTAAAAGTAAGCACGACTAATGAGATCGATCTGAGATCTCTTTTGCAACTACCTTTTAAAATAACAGTGTCAACAAGAGTCTAAATCTGTGTGACTTTATGGTTAGGTTTCTTCGCTACAAAGAGGCAAAGAGAATGGTATGTGGAGGACACCATAAAACAATCCATTATTTTTGAGTGTATTTTGCTTGGATAAGAAAAAAAAAAATAATTAAAGCTTGAAGGTAAAATGGAAAAATAGAAGTTTAAAAACGTGTCTGGTCAAGTCTTACCAAACTGCTAACATTAAATACATAAATTCAAGAAAAAAAATACAACTTAAATTTGTTGCCATGGACAATACACGACGGATAGACAGCTTTCTGGACAAAAAGCATAGAGAAAGGACGGGGCAGTTAGGGAACCACAGGAGTGCACTGACCTCCGGGATGCGGACTAACACGAATCACACACTAAAGATCTAAAGTAATAGTGTGTGACGGAGATATAAATGACATTTCCTCAACTCTAAGATTGCATATTAGCTCGTTATCAAACTAAGGATGGGAAATGTAGGAATATTTCATTTTCAGGTGTGGGTAGAGAATGGCCATAGAATATTTTAATTCTCTAGTTGCATTGTATAATGTAAGGCAGAATTGAACTTCGTCCCATCCCAAATGCATTATGACTGCTAATCTCTTTTTTAAAATAACCGTCTGAAAACCATCTGAAAAGAAAGGCTATGTTTTTTGTTTTTGCTTGATTTTAATTCCTCAAATTAAGCTTTCTATCGATTTTTAAAGTTTTCCTTTGCCCAGTACCCCAAACAGCTGTAGACATGAAACAGTGTCCATGCTCTAGAGAGCTTGCTGAGGAAACTGACT